AAATACTTGGTTGAAAAAAGGGGCCCTCTCCCTCCAGAAGTGGGAACAATTGGTCTGTTGAGACTAAGGGCTTGTCTACATGGGGCAGCTGCACAGTGTAACTTAAATCAGTTTTAAATTGATTGAGGTCTTGTTCACATACACAAACTCTAGTGCTTTAACTGTGCTAGTGTACAATGCAACCGACTCATGTGATGCAGCAATATCTGTATTTTGGTGCTTTACACCAAGATTACTGTTCCCATAGGAAAGAGGGGAATAAACTATGCTGGTATTAGCACCTTCTTACCAGTATACATGCATCTATACTAGGAGTTATACTGGTTTAACTTTCAGTTCTACTGGTACAAAACCTGTGTGTCGACCAGGCCTGAGTTAAATATAAATATAGGAGTTCAGTTAAACCTGTTCCTAACTGACTCAAGTTAAACCAGAAGAAGCCAATTTTAAAAAGACCTATGAACCTTTTGCACCAGTTTGACTCAGTTGCTTTACATTGGCACCCTCTTCATTATCCAAGTGTAACTTTTTTCATGTGGACAGGTCCTCAGACTGCTTTCTCCCACATAAGACCTTGTAAAGGTCTCCAAACAGCAGCTGCTTTCATTTGTGTTCCACCGTTCTTGGGCAGAAAGAAATGAAAAAGTTGACATCTCAGTGTCCATGGCTTTGAGATTTTTTTACATTGCTTAATTTTGTGTAATTCTTTTTTCCCCCTACTAACAGCCATGGTATATCATGCCAAGGCCTGTTTGAGAGCTCCTGAAATTCACTGGTTATTAAGAAGCCAAACATTAATATCCTGTTCCCAGCCATTAGAAGTCTCTGGTACGGAGGCAGTTGCCTGGTACATGTTCTAAGTTTGTGTGTCTACGCTCATCACTAGTTCCTAGAACAGTTCTACAGTGTTTTCCTAGGTTCACCCTAGCAATTAAAAAAAAAAAAGAAAGAAAAAAAAAAAGTGGGGTTTAGAACACAAACCTCCCCAGGCATGGTAAGGAACGATGCATACCACAAAGTTTGTGTGGCAACCTGGACAGGTCCAGCTGTGCGTGCTAAGCTGTGGTGGGTAAACCATCTAGAACAGGGGTGGGCAAACTTTTTGGCCTGAGGGCTACATCGGGGTTCTAAAACTGTATGGAGGGCTGGGTAGGGAGGGCTGTGCCTCTCCAAACCCTAACCCTATCCGCCCCCTCCCACTTCCTGCCCCCTGACTGCCCCCCTCAGAACCTCTGACCCATCCAACCCCCCCCCCCACTCCTTGTCCCCTGACTGTCCCCTCCTGGGACCCCCTGCCCCTGACCGCCCCCCCGGGGCTCCAACCCCTATCCACACCCCTGCCCCTTGACAGGACCCCCGGAACCCCACCCCCTATCCAACCCCCCCAAAGCCCCTTTCAGAATGTAGCCCTGCGAACATGGGCAGAGGACTCAGGAGGAGCAGGGGCAGCCGTGCAGCCAGAGAGAAGCGGCGGTTTCCCCTTCAAAGCTCCACTTCTCTCCGGCCGGCAGCAAGGCCGCCTGGTGCTCCTCCTGAGTCCTCCGCCCGCGTTTGCCACACTTCCGCCACCCACACCGCCCACCTGCTCCCCTGAGGCTGCAGGTGAGCCTCCCTTCCTGCTCTCCCCTGCCCCTGCAGTGCAGCCCCTTCCCGCGCTGGCGGTGCAGCGTGCTGAGGCTGTGGGGGAAGGGCCAGGGACTAGCCTCCCCGGCCGGGAGATCAAGGGCCGGGCCAGACGGTCCCACGGGCTATAGTTTTCCCACCTCTGATCGAGAATCATCCTTGTTCTGGGACAATGACCTCAGGTTTCTGTTAGGAATGGAACCAGAGGTGGTAACAGTTGGTGTTACCTCAGTTTTGATAACTCCACATATAGTCCCAACCAAGATTGGGGCCCATTTTTGCTAGGCTCTGTACAGAGACATGGGGGAGAGAGGCTGGATATAAACTACCAAGGTTTTCCTGCATAGCTATGTCAGCATGCCCTCCCCCTATACTCCACGTAGCTGCAGTGTATGCCAACAAAGGAGCCATTTTGTTGGTATAGCTTATGTTGTTTGCGGAGGTGGTTTACCTATAATGGCAAAATAACTCCTTTTGCTGGTATAATCTGTATCCCCATGAAGAGCCTTTGTTGGTATAGGTGTACTGAGAAAGGTCTTTGATGTGTAGACTAGCCCATAGTCCCTGCCCAGAAGAGTTTACAATCCAAATAGATAAAGATGAGTAAAGGATGGGAGAAAGGAAGTATTATTATCCCTGTGGGAAAGCACAGAGAGACCTGTCTTCACTGCCTTGTTAGCTTGAGGTCTAACTTCAGTGTTGCCCCTAACCTGATTCCCATCCACACACGCACATCTCTCATTGGTGCTTTCACCTCAACTTACCTCGCCCGTTGTGGGGGATGGATTGAAGCTCAGATGCTGCTTATGTTGGAGCTAGTACTGCAGTGGGGACATGGCTACTCTGTATTGCTAATGCAAACACTCCCTGCTGCTAATCCAATCACCCTGCAGCTCCAGAGCCATTTTGTGGTGGGTTCGTTCTCAGTCGAACTAGGCTCACTTGAGAGGAGTTAATTCAAGTGTAGATAACTCAACCTAACACTATAGTGGAGACCAGGAGAAATCAACTCTGTCTCCCCTGAGTCCCAGTCCAGTGCCTTAGTTACAAAGCCACCCTTCCTTTCTGGTGCAGTGGTGAAATGCTATGAGGGAAGCCATTCTGAGCTTTTCCAGCTGTAACAGGAAATGGCAGTGATTGACGACTCCTGAGAGGCTGGTGTCTTGCAAAATGTCCAGCCCAGTTTTGTGGACTCAAACAACGAGCTAGTTTGCAGGAGCTTCAGGTCAGAATTCAGACTTCCGGATGCCAAACTAAACAGAAGTCTATTTCCCAACCTGTTCGTGTCAGGATCCTGGAGAAAGGTAGGCAGAACTAGTGGTGGGAGGGTAGAAGTCCGCGGTCAGGGTCAGGCTTGTAGTCAAGAGTAAAGCTGAGGGTGAGAGCCAGAGACAAGGTCAGGAATCAGGCTGAGGGTCGGTATCAGGGTCAGTGTTGGCATTCCAGGGGATCCACATTGTTGACTGAACACTTCCTGGTACACCCCATAGACTTATATAAGCGTCAAGGAGCCAATCGGGGATTGCTAAGACAACTGTCAGTCAGATCGCTCGAGGTGGAACTTCCTGTGGTGGTACAACCTCTGTGGGTTGTGGGTCGCTGGAAACAGTCAAGTCAGGTTACAGACTTGTGCCAGCGTGAGCTGCCTGCAGGCCCAGGTTCAAGTCCCGCTGATCCTTACATTGCAGATTTGCTCAGCGTTGGGTCGAAACGTCCTTGTAATGTGATTAGCAGAGCACCTGTTGCTGACCATGCCCAGAGCTGTTTACCTACACGAAATGGCTGTCAACTGAAATTGGTTTTCCCAAGTAGTGAAAGCTCTTAGTCAGCAATAAGGATTAAATGCTAGCGGGTTTCATTGTAGAAAAAGCTGAGTGGGAGGGTGCCATTGACATGGTTTGGGTTTTTTTTAATGTTTGACACTTTAAAAACCAAATCTCTTAATAAATATTTCATTAAAAACACACATTTCTCAGCCAAAGCCCAAATTTCAGCCCTGAGGCAGCTACTGCAGCTGAATTATAACCCTTTTGTAAGAGGTTTTTATAATGGAAACACTGACAAACCCTGAACTGTAGTGGGTGCTGCTCTTGTACTGACAGTTCATCAGCTAAACCCCTGACCCCTTTACCCTTAATCATCCTTGCTTGTCAGTGACATAATTGCATGATTACAGACTCCTCTCCCCATCCCTTTCAAACCGCGAACAATAGTGAATTTCAAATACAAAATGTAAATGAACCGTCCAAACTAATTTGTTTTTCTGCATTCAGATGGACTGAGTTTAGATTCCGTCCCTTTATGTCTGAACGGGCCTGGTAAAGGCTTTCAAGAACCTTTTGCACTGGGATACCTTGAGTATAGGCTGATCATCTGATGGCATTGTGCTATTGATTGGGATTACAAATTCAGACATAAATCATTAATGTAGAGTCTGGAAAAAAACTTTACTGTGTTCCATAAATCTAATGTTAATCCCTGAATACATAATACAGAATGGGCGAAAACAGAACTGGTTTTACTGTGGTGTCTGAGTGGGGTTATATTTCTAGATTGCTCTCTGAGCAGTTTCCCATATTTAAAAAAACAAACCAAACTACAGTGTTCTGTAATAATGGTCCAAAACAAAATATTCCAGTAGTACTGTGGTGTTTGGGGTTGTTATTGTAGAATATAGTACAAGGGGTGGAAGCACAAATAGGCCATGGTTCTCTGCTCCCAGAGAACCTGTGTTAACACCTCGAGTTCAAAGACCGGGCTAGGAAATATGCAGCCCTGCGTTCCTTGCAGTCAGAATGCCCAAAGAGTGCAAATCTGATCCTTTAATGAGTGTGAGGTGTAATTCAGTCACTTTGCGGTAAGGAGTTTGCTGCAGTCAGTTAGGCTTCCTTTTTGCCTCATATGGCTGGAAAAAGAGGAAGATGGGCAGTGAATGTTACATAGCACAATATATAATGTTAGGTTTTTCCCTTAACCAGTAATGTGCTAGTGTGTAAATGCCACTGGACACTTGAAAGTGCCTTGATATAAAACTCTACATAGTGTAGTAGGCTGCAAATAGCTGGCAGCTTGAAGTTATGTGAGACCAAACACACAACCATTGCCTCAGTGCATTTTTCCTCCCCAGCGTTCATCCAGCCGAGACAGGTTATCAGGTGTGAGTGCCAGGAAATAAACTGTCTGTCAGAGGTTAGCAATAGAGCTAATGTTGTTGAGTGACTAGTGTTTGCAGTGTAAACATTTAATGGCAGGGCATAAAGTATCTGAAGGAAACAGGGTGATGTGTGGAAAATTGAGCCTGCATGGGGGGGAAATGAGTTTGATTTTTGTCCTTTATAAGGCTGAAACTCCTAATCAGTGTCTCTCTCCTCCTCCAGACGTGCTCATCTACGCCTGTGCTTAGAACGTTTAAAGGTTCTGATACCACTAGGGCCAGACTGCACCCGGCACACAACGCTTGGGCTGCTTAACAAAGCCAAAGCACACATTAAGGTAAGCACTGCTTTTCCCAGGCTTCCCAGACGCTGTTTCTAACTGCACCAGTCACTCACCCACTGTCCAGAGTTAAATCTGCTCTCCCGGAGACTAACACCTCTCAAATGCATTGCTCCTTCTGTTAAATCATCCATCATTATTACAACATGTGTTATTCGGAGGGTCCATAATAAACTCTGTTAACTCTGGAAATTATTGATTTGGGGAGTGGGGATCCTGTTCTGTATTATGATGGGGGAAGACAGTAGCAGATCTTGCTCTTTTTTTAAAGTAGAAACACATCTAATGTGATTGAGGGGCTGCAATTTGATGGAAAATGTAACTTCTGTCACTCCAGTGCATTCCTCTTGCTGGCAAATCAGTATAGGCCTCTAGAGTGAAACAGGGTTGACATCTTATTGTTTCCATCGTCTTTCATCTGTGGTTCTGCCAACTTCCCAAAGCCCTTCATAGATTGCTTCTGGCAAAGTAAAGTATAAAAAGAAAATCCAGTCTTGTAGGGATCAGGAATATACCTAAATCCTTTGTTGCAGCTCTGGGTTGGTAAGGGAGGGAGCCCTGCTTAAAGGAAAGTGTTAGCCTGAAATGACTCCCATCTTATGCAACGGGTTGGCCATCCGGAAACACAGAACATTGGTCTGTAGATTTCCCAGCTGTGATCAGAGGAGTCTGTAGCAGGTTACATAAATAGTTATTTAAATGGAAAACTGCTTCTGAGAAATACCTACTAAACCAAGCAACAAGAAAGCCAGACATCCCAGGATAAATTTTTGTGTAAACCTGTGTTACGAGTGATCATAACAAATGCAGAATCTGTTTGATTAAGGGAATTGGGGCCCCCTGGTGGATTAACTCAGTGATGCATCTTATTGGTTAATTACCCGTTTATAAAACACAATAATTAAAAAAAAAAACACACAATCCCATATAGATATTCATTCATCCCCAAAAATCCTCCTTATACAAATATGAAAAGGTGTAGCAAAGGTGTAAACCAAAAAAGACACAAGTAGACTTCATTTCTACTAGTGACTGAAGGGCAGTCTGGTCCGATACTTGTCTGAGCATAAATCCTTTCAGAACATGGGAAAATCTGAAGCAAAGTATATGGCTGTGCTGTAGAAAACAAGAATTAAAGTCATAATCAAGTTGTATTCTATCATGTCAGAAACTTGAGGAGGCCGAGAGGAGAAGCCAACACCAGCTTGAAAACCTGGAACGAGAACAAAGATTCTTAAAGAGAAGGCTGGAACAACTGCAAGGTCCTCAGGAGATAGAGCGAATACGAATGGACAGCATTGGCTCAACCATTTCCTCTGATCGCTCGGATTCAGAGCGAGGTAGGTGTTCTACATGCGTCCAGCTTAATTAAAATACTTTTTGAAAAGATCTGCTCTAGCTCAAACAGGAATTAATTAGGGAAGTCTTATGGCCTGTGTTGTGCAGGAGGTCAGATGAGATGACCACAGTGGGCCCTTCTAACCTTAGAATCTGTGAATCTACAAAAAGGGATGGATCAGGATGAAGACTGACCTCTCTTGAAAATTTGAGAGGGTGGCGAATGATTCCTTCCTTCTATTCGCAAAAAGAAAAGGAGTACTTGTGGCACCTTAGAGACTAACCAACTTATTTGAGCATAAGCTTTCGCAAAACCTTATGCTCAAATAAATTGGTTAGTCTCTAAGGTGCCACAAGTACTCCTTTTCTTTTTGCGAATACAGACTAACACGGCTGCTACTCTGAAACCTTCCTTCCTGTTGTGCTCTTTGTGTTACTTTTCTCTTTGCTTTGCCATTGAATGAGTCTCTGTATTTGTCAAGCAAAGGATGTGGGCTTTGTCATGTCTTTCTGCCTCAGTTGTTGGTCAGTCTTGCTTAAGTTGAGGAAAGGGGTTGTGATTGTGGATTCAGGTGATTCTTGTGGCATTTGAACTTGACTGCTGTATTTGAACAGTTGTCTAAAGTCAGAATGCAAAAGCTTTGTTTTAAAAATAATGATCCATGATCCCAACTCAGTAACCAAACACATGCTTAAAAGTATAAATATGGGTTGTGCTCCTCCTCTTTATAATGTAAAAAGAAGGCCTAGAACAGGGATGGGCAAACTTTTTGGCCTAAGGGCCACATCGGGTTTTGGAAATTGTATGGAGGGAAGGTTAGGGGAGGCTGTGCCAAGCTGTTCCCCTCTCTCTCCCTCCCTCCCCCCCCCCCCGGGACTCCTGCCCCATCCACTGCTCCTTGTCCCCTAACCGCCCCCGGAACCCCTGCCCCACACAGCCCCATCCAACCCCCCCTCCTTCCTAACTATCCCCCGGGACCCCCATCCCCATTCACACACACCCCCATCCTCCACCCTCTGACCACCCTGACCCCATCCACACCCATGCCCCCTGACCACGACCCTGAACTCCCCTGCCCTCTATCTACCCCCCCGCTCCCTGCCCCCTTACCACGCAGCACAGAGCACCGGTGGCTGGTGGCGCTAAAGTCGCGCCGCCCAGAGCGTTGCACCGGTGTAGTGTAATAAATTGTTCTCGGTAACTGCTACCAGTAGCACGTTCCTTCGCGGAGCAGTTTAATACACTACACTGGCGGCATGCCATGCTGTGGCTGCGGGGGAGGGGCCGGGGGCTAGTCTCCCAGGCCAGGAGCTCAGGGGCCGAGCAGGAGGGTCCTGCAGGCCATAGTTTGTCCACCTCTGGCCTAAAAGGAAGTTTCAAAAATCAGGGTTCCATTTTCTGCTTGTTCCTGCTATTTCTAAGTTAAAGTCTTGTCTTTCCCATTTTACTGGACAATTCTTCTGGAGGATTTGCATATGAAGCAAGTGCTTTCTCCTCCCTCCACTGAAGAGTGCGGGGAAATGTTGAATCTTTCACAGAGATTTTTTTTTCTCCCAACTGTGTGTCAAGTGTTAGAGTTAAATCTGTTTTCAACAAAACCATTAAGTTTTACTCAGCCACTTGGTTGGTATCTGTGATGATATAATCCTCCTAGTGCTCTAACTAGCCATAAAAGTCTCTCTCAGTGAAAAAAAGGGCAGAGAAGATTTGGAGGTGTGATGTTAAGATCAAGCAGGTTTCAGAGGAACAGCCGTGTTAGTCTGTATTCGCAAAAAGAAAAGGAGTACTTGTGGCACCTTAGAGACTAACCAATTTATTTGAGCATGAGCTTTCGTGAGCTACAGCTCACTTCATCAGATCTGATGAAGTGAGCTGTAGCTCACGAAAGCTCATGCTCAAATAAATTGGTTAGTCTCTAAGGTGCCACAAGTACTCCTTTTCTTTTTAAGATCAAGCAGAATTATTTAAAAAAAAAAAATTCTGGTCTCCTTTATATATCATAAATAAAGCTAAGATTTTTGTCACGGTTATTTTTAGTAAGTCGTGGACAGGTCACAGGCAACAAACAAAAATTCACGGAGCCGGTGATCTGTCCGTGACTTTTACTAAAAATAACCGTACAAGCCGTGTGGCAGAGATGCACAGCCCTGGCTGCAGCCACTGCCACGGGGCAGGAGCGCACTGTCCCGGCTGTGGCCCCCATTGCAGGCGACGTGGGAGTACAGCCACGGCTCCGGCTCCGGCCCTGGCTTCAGCTGCAGGCAGCTGAAGCTGAAGAAATCACCAAGGTCCGGTAAAGTCACAGAATCTGTGACCTCCATGACTAAATTGTAGCCTTAATCATAAAGAACCAACAAATTGCACAGAGATTGTCCGTCTATTTATTGGTGATCTGTGTGCTTCGCTGTTTTACCGATATTTTTCATTTATTTTTTAGTGTCTTTGTTTTTAAGGTCTTCTGGGTAAAATTTTCAAAAGCATTTCAGTGACTTGGGAGCCTCAGTCTTATTGCCTTTGATAGCCCAAAGTCACCGAAGTGCTGTTCAACATGGTACCCGGTGTCCGTATAGAAACACACTACAGTGCCCTATATATCTCTGTCTCCGCTATCACAACCGTAAAGTGTCCCCCGGCACTGCTGTTTGTCACTGTAGTCTCCGGAAGACCCAGATCTCTGTTACGCTAGACACTGTGCAAACTCTGAAAGTGACAGCCCCTGACCTGGAAGAGCTTATTATCATCTTGGTATCTGAGTTGCAGAGGATATTGCAAGCAGCCCACTCTCATGGTGATAAATTCAATCCAAGCTGGAGGGAATGCCCAGGCCCACAGAACCAGGGTGCAATGATGGCAAAGTAGCTAGACGCCACATGGGGGGTCTGAACGCTGTGGTGCTGCTTAACACAGATTCTTCCACAGCCTGCAGAGCAGAGCCGTTGACTAATGATGAATCCAAACTCTGCTGAGTTCTTCATCTTAAGAACATAAGAATGGCCATACTGGATCAGCAATGGTCTATCTCACCCAGTATCCTGTCTTCAGACAGTACCCAGTACCAGATTCTTCAGAGGGACTGAACAGAACAGGGCAATTTATTGAGTGATTCATCCCCTGTCATCCAGTTCCAGCTTCTGGCTGTCAGAGGTTTAGGGACACCCAGAGCATGGGGTTACATCCCTGGCCATCTTTGCTAATAGCCATTCATGGACTTATCCACCATGAACGCGTCTAATTCTCTTTTTGAACCCAGTTCCTAGCTTGGGAGTTTGGGGTTGGCTGACAGCAAAAAAGTTTAGTAATGCCTTTGAAACACATTGAGACAGCATCCTCCTTGCTGAAACAGGCACTCTGCTCCTCCCCCCTTTCAGAAATCATTGCAAATTGTACCATGTGAGGCTTATTTTATACCTGGAGTGTTGATCATTTGTCAATTGTAGAGTTCAAGGCGTAGCTGCCTGCGATGACACTAACCTGCGTGTGTGTCGTTTTCTTTGCAGAAGAGATTGAAGTGGATGTTGAAAGCACAGAGTTCTCCCATGGAGAAGTGGACGATATCAGCACAACCAGCATCAGTGACATTGATGATCACAGCAGCTTGCAGAGTATTGGGAGTGACGAGGGTTATTCCAGCGCCAGCGTCAAACTCTCGTTCGCTTCCTAGAACAAAGTGAGACAACAATGCAGGGCGGATTATTCCACTGGAGTAATCTGAGTTCAGACTGGGTTCTAGATGCAGTATCCTCTTTTAGAAATGACACGTCAACAATGACAGACCTATATATATGTACCCCCTTGGGCAATAGGAGGCCTCCGTAGGAACCCATGTATGTCCATTGGGTCATGTTGCAAAATCTTGGTTTCCCCTAGTGTAGTGAGACTGAACCCTGGTCCTTCTGAAGTCAGTGACGAAACTCCAGTTGGCTTCAGTGAGACCTGGATTTGGCCCTTGCATGATAAATTACTTTGCTTTGACTTTGTTTATTTGAAAGAGGATACTGGAGATTCAGCCCTCTCTCTCTCTCTCGCTCTCTGTCTCAATTTGTCATGCAATCTGAGAAACGTCCAGTTTTTCTCATACTGCATTCAGATAGAACAACTTGGTTTAGACCCTTCTGGAACTTTCCTGGTCCGGAAATGACTCTGTCCTAATATTTGATCACCATCAGGCATTATAGTAACCTAGCAGGAAGTCACAGCAGCTTGGCCATGAAGACGTGTCCCACAACCTATGAATAATAATAGGTGTTCAGTTCATGCCCAGAGAGAGGCAACAGTGAAGATTGTTCAGGAGAAATCATCATTCAGCTCAACGTTCTGTTGGACATCATTTAAAGCAAGTACCTCTACCACATTGCTAGCACTAGGGTACTAAACCGTAATCTACCAGCACGTGGCGGGCTGCGTTGTGGAATGAGGCTGTGAGTCCACACACACACACGCACGCACACACAGAGTTGAGGACAGAAAGAAACCAGCGTGTGGAAAGTCATGCCCAGATACTGAGCCACTATAACCTTTTTATTTAAAGATCTTTTGATAAACGTTTGTAAATGTGTTGGGAGTAAAAACACTCCAAATGTGACACGTCTTTTTAGAGCTTGTCCATATGAAATCTTCAATGTCTTTTATAATGGATTAACGCTACTGAAAAGGTAACTGTTTTGATGCAGCACTTGACCTGATGAAACACAAAAATGCTCTTTGCCGTGCACAACACAAACAAGGTCTGTGCTAGCTTGGAAAGGTCAGGGTTGCTGGGTTTTTTTGGTTTCCTTTTTTGAGAGTCATTCCCTTTGCAAACTTTGAAGGCACCTGATCCCCTACAGTAGTCACAGTTCAATAGTTAAGCTCAGCACTTTTCTCATCTTAATGTAACATTTGGCCTGCGCACATCCCCGTGCGTATCCGCTATCTCACCTATGCAGGTGCTGTTGCTGTTGAGAGCTATTGTATTGAATATTTTATAATTTTCTTGGAGGTGAGATTTCTAATGTGCACTTTGAGGGCTTTGCTTTCTTGTGTTTTTTGTTTTTTTTTTAAATGGTGAGAATTATTTTTTTGTTTTCCAAGTTAAAAAACCTTCTTACAGAGACCTCACCAATGGCATTGTTTGAAATTTTGTGTACCTTGAAGTAATTTAACTACCCCTCATTACTAAGGAAAAAAATAAAAGGAAAAAATGCTTTATAAAATTTGTAACTTATTGCTGATTTGAATGGGTTGTTAATTTCAGTCCTGTTGATTTTATTGTTTTTAGGTAGGATTGGGCCAAAAACAAAAAAATGAAGACAACCTTATTTAGCAGTGCAGTGGAATTGTGTTTATATGTTAGAATATGGTCCCATATTAAAGTAGCACTTTAACACCATTAAACGTTTATGGATCTGAAATGAATTGTGTTCCTCCGTCTTGGTTGCTCATATGACTTTAGCATACCCATCTTCTTTCTTGTGCCTGCAGGAAAAAAAGTATATTCCCCTTTAATCCCGTGATAAGATCCTGAATAATTCTAATGTAGATTGTGTCTAATTTCTGTAAATTGCATGTGTTTGAACATTCCTATGTTTCCTATGTTACCAAATCCCCCCTGTGATATGACATCATACATATGAGACACAAAATCCCTGTTCATGGAGTGGAGGAATAATCTTTCCATGCTTTGATGCATTATATCTGGGTTTTTAATTCTTTCCTTTCTTTAAGCCTGAGTCAGGTTGCTACTCTTACTAATCTCCTTACACATGTGCATAGGTAATACTCTGATTTAGCGTGTGTGATCATGTCTCCCTCTAGTGGCTATCCTCAGCAGATACACAAACCAGCCAGTTAATGGAGTTTTTCCATTAGCTGAATTGGTTGGGGCTTCTTTGTTTTATTTTCAGGCTGCATATCATGGAATTGATCCTTGCTAACAATTCTAGAACCTGTATGTAGGCAGCTGTGGATTGTAACATGTGTTTATCAGCTTAAGTCAATGGGGCTACTCACATTAGTAAGAAGAAATCAAGTGAGTAAAGACTGAAGGATCATACGTGAACTGATAATCATTGACTGAGCCCCCACAACTACCAGTTTTTGCCCATGCTAGAATTATCAACAGCTGGAATTTATATCTGACACTGTTCAAATGAGCTCTGATAGTCACCATTTTGTGGCATCTTGTGCTGTTCAGCTTCTCTGAAGATGAATCCCACCAGTCACGATCACTAGCGAACTCCAGCCATCCTGGGCATCCCCACCTTCTGGTTGTTCCTCTTTGGCTGTGTATTTTTTTGGATCAAAAAGTACACGACGTGGGCAATGGTAAAAAGGTCGCTTGGCAAAAAAATCATATTTGAGAAATATAAAAGTTAGAGAACTTTAAAAAAATGAAAATGGATAAAGGAAGAAAATCAGTGTTGGGCAATCCTGGCAGAGCAGGGCGATCCCAGAGTGTGTTTTTTGGAACCAATTTTTCTGTAAGGCTTTCCAGTAAAGCCACCCATTTGTATGCCTTTGGGATCACTTTGATATTGGCTGTCATCTTTAGGAGTGCAGTCAAGGGTCTGGAAATTTCAATTCCAAATACTGCAGCTGGAAGGGAGGGAAATGTAATCCACTTGGTAGCTTCCATCTACGCTGTCTTAAGTGACCCACCCAATGGATCGGCAAGTATCAGCATCCTAGTATAGAGAGCTTTTAGAGAACAAACACAATTTTCCTACAAACCTTTATAGTAGTAGTTAATGACAAAAGTTGGCTGTTTGATTGGGTCCCTTCTATGGATTTCATTGTATCAGTTCCTTTCACACCTCTGGACATTAGTGGAAGATTTGCTATGCGAGAGAAATGTTTCCACAGCTGCTTTGTGGTGTTTGTTCAATCCCTTTTTCATTGCTTTAATACTATATTGTTAACACTAGCTTTTCTTTATAGATTATTCTAAAAACTAAACTAACATTAGTTATTTTGTTTTGTTGTTAATCTAGCCTTTTGCATCGGAATGTCCAAGACAGCAAATTGGCCCAGAGAAGCCACCATAAATGATTGAGCAGATCATCATAGCTAATTGGCCTATACTATGTAAATCAGATTAGATGATGGTCCCTTCTGGTTATAAAACAAAAAATCATCTACTTCTTCCCATTCTTCAGAACTGAGAAATGCCCCCCAAAGCTTCTGATTTTCGTACATTCTCATGTACTATTCTGCTATTACTGAGATAGCAGTAATTACTTCAGCTGGCTTATGTAATGCAGTTCTTCCTCGAAGTCTCCCATTTGTTGTCTTAAGACATTGTTCATCCAAAGCTGAAACCTTTGAGCCTTTAATATACCCATCTGTGGTGGCACACTTGGATGGAACTCCATGACTGGTTACTGTCCCCGGAGAATTCACTATGTCAGCATAAGTCTGGGATCAAGGCCTTTATTTGAGTGTTGACATCCTCATTTTTTCCCCCTCTGTCTAGTTTTCTGTACAGATCCAACCCTCAGAAGAGCAGGATTGTTCTTTGTACAAGCAGCTCTTTTTCCCCCCAAAAAAAAAAAAAAGAGAGAGAGATTGGAGGACATTTCAAATATTGTCTGTACAGTTAGAAGCATAGAGGAAGGTGCAGGAATTTGAAGGGACCAAACAGTTTCCATAGGTTTGTTAACCAATATGGTTAAGCCCAAGTTGAGAAGCTGCAGAAAATCCATTCCGGAATGAATTTCTGCAACATAAACCCCCTTAAGGCATTGTCTGAACTCTGTCCCAAAGGTACTTTCCACCCCAGAACACCACGTTTCGTTATACCCACTCTCTCCTTGAGAGTTGGGTAATTGAGGCCCTGAGCCTGGAAAACTCCACAGTTTCAGTGCCCAAGACTGTAACTCTGGTACATGCAGCTCCTTCAAAAGACTTTGTGAATGATGATCCCCAAATGGCAAATTATCAAGGCATTTTGGTCAAGTATAATCTTAGTTTCTAGCAAGAGGTCCTTTCCTCTTTGGAGCATCAGGCGAGGGTGACCTTTGATGTTACTGAGGTATTTGAATTACAGTAAAATCAGCAGGAAAGTCTCATCAGATGAGCTCTTGCCCAACAAAAAGGTTGAGAGTGAAGCTACATTTACTTCCTTCAGACATACTTCAAAACCTTCTGTACTTTCCGTGCCTTAGAGTTCAAGGATGTGTGTCTCTAGGTGAGGATGCATCTCTGATACGTATGGTTCAGTGTTGCCTTTTGAACTGGTGGAGTATCCATTTGGGATCAGGAATTCTTACGTTGTAGGTTAGTAGCATAGATTGGGAGTTGTGCAATTTGTTCATTCCTGAGAGGTCTGGCACCAAACGGTTTGGTATGTCTGAAGGGGAATCCATACAGTCCTCCCTGCTGCCAAAATGGAGTCAAGTAAAGGTGCAGCTTTGAACAGAAGATACCAGTTATTCTACAGGCTCCCCTTCCTATGATGCCAATCACATAGTCCCTTATTGTCCCTATAAACAACTGCATCATTATCTCATTTCTTCTAAAGCCTTATCTTATTCCCTTAGAAGCAGAGAGTGAAACTCTCATTAACTTTAGTGGGAACAGAATTGAGTCCTTTTTCCAAAGCACTTTATTCCCACTTTAATCCATTTAGCCCCAATATCTGCTTTCTGCTTCCCACCACATGGCAGACACATTTCCTCATGTTTCCTTTTCCTCTGTCTAAACTTACCTATTCTCATCACATAGCACTTTGCGTCACAAACGATCTCTTTGGTCCTCATAAAATTGACGCGCCGTTCTCCCTGATGTTTTTCCAGGCTTGTTTCCTATGTAAGGTTATTTTTTGTTGTGGCAGTTACTTGGGCTTGTAGATTCCATGAGCCACACAATCTCTAGTGCAAGCTCTAAATCCATCCTCTACTAAATTTTACAGAAATAAGGTGGCTTTCCTTTAATCATCCCACCTGTATTACCCTCCACATATGCTGCTTCCCCCAGAAGCTCATCCTGGTGAGTCTTCTCTGCATAAATTAGGTCTCTAAAAGGTCATTGTGCTACAGAAAAACCTATTCAAAAGGCCATTCAGTATTTTCCTCCTTTTGACACCAGTGTATTACAGCATGTTATTTTGTGTCCAAGAATGAGTTGCGGGGGATGACTGGCTTGCAGCATTTGGTACGGTTACTCTTTGGAGGACTGTCACTCGAAGGTCATTTTAAAGCCCATTCCATTCAAGGTATATTATTGACAGAAGGTAGTCTCAAAGTGATATATCTTGTGAGACCTGTAGATCGGTAAAAATGGGGTTAACTTACTTTTTTTTTTTAACTAAATTTTATCCTAGACACTCGTATGCAGAAGAATTTAGTTCTGGCCTTCTTGTTTGGCAAGGTCTGCTTCTGCGCTGCAAACTCCAGTACTTTGTTGTCTTGTCTTTTCTTAGGTTGCTTGCTGCACTCTATGCATAGACCTCATTTATGCTGCTCATTCTTTGAACTACCTTAGGACCTGGGCTGCTCCTACTGAAATGAATGGGAGTTTTCAAAATTAAATTAGTGGGAGCAGGATAGGCTTGTATCAGTTGCTGTCAGTTGAGAATATTTTTTTCAGGATCATAACTTTTGTTACGTTTGAGTTCCAGTATTTCCCTGGCACCAGGCCAGAGTGAGGGAAACCCCCTCTCCTTGAAACCTGGGAGTAGCTGCAGTCACCAGGGGTGATCTCCTGACCCCATAGAAGTCAATGGCAAGGGGACCAGGATTTCACCCCAAGAGTAGAGATGTACATGAGAAGCTCACCATTAAAAGAAAAGGTAGGTTGCTTCCTTGAAGCTAATAAAATAACTTTGATCCAGATTTCTGTGTGCACCTCCTCTTGAAATATGGGCTTTGCCTTATCTGACTAGTGGGACAGAGAAATTGAGGTTCTGATGTAGCATGGAAGGGTCTCATGCTTCATCAAAAAAACCCACAGTGCCAAGTCTCAGAGCCCAACTCACTTTTCTTGGGCTGTGGAGCTAAAAATAGCAGCGTGAATGTTCTGGCTTAGGCTGGAGCCTGGGCTCCGAGCTCCTCCCCACTCACTGGGTTTCAGAGCCCAGGCTCCAGCCTGAGTGGGAATGTCTACACTGCTGTTTTTAGCCCTGCAGCGCGAGCCAAAGTCAGTTGACTTGGGCTCTGAGACAGTGCTGTGGGGTTGGGGTTTTTTTTGCTTGTTTTTTTTTTTTTTTGCAGTGTAGGGACCGTAGACATAGAGCATATTATGTTTGCTCCCGCAGGTGGAGAGTTCTAGAAATGTTAACCTGGGGATGCACAGTGTGCATCTTGTGTGCTGGAAGGCCGATAACTAGGGCCCTACCAAATTTACGGCCATGAAAAATGCGTCCTGGTCCGTGAAATCTGGTCTTTAATGCACCTTTACCCTATATTGTACAGATTTCACAGGGGAGACCAGCAGTTCTCAAATCGGGAGTCCTGACCCAAAAGGGAGTTGTGGGGGTCGGGTCGCAGCATTGCCACCCTTACTTCTGCGCTGCCTTGAGAGCTGGGTGGCTGGAGAGCGGCGGCTGCTGGCTGGGCACCCAGCTCTGAAGGCAGAACTACGGCCAGCGGCAGCGCAGAAGTAAGAGCGGCACCAGACCAGGCCACCCTTACTTCTGGGCTGCTGCTGGCGACGGCTCTGCCTTCAGAGCTGGGCTCCCGGCCAGCAGCCGCTGCTCTCCAGCTGCCCGGTGGCGCTGCCAGCAGCAGCCCAGAAGTAAGGATAGCAGTGCTCCAACATCCCCCCACTCACCCCCTGATAACCTTGCAGCCCCCCCCCCCCCCCAGCTCCTTTTTGGGTCAGGACTCCTACAATTACAACGCCGTGAAATTTCAGATTTAAATAGCTGAAATCATGACATTTACAATTTTAATGACTGTGAAATTGACCAAAATGGACTGTAATGTGATAAAGCCCTACTGATAACTCTCCCAGTGCTCTTTTTTTTTTTTTTATGGCAGAGTAGAGAGAGCCCAACACACACGCACACCATCAAAAAAAACTCTGCGACACTCAAACAATTCTGTTGAGCAACTTCTGCTAAACTCTGACAAATAGGTTGCTATGGAAAAGCTCCAGCGATCCCGGTGATCTTTGTTCTTGTACATTGCCATGTCTTGCATGCTCTGTGAAATGTAGCTGGTAGGATGAATTTCATGTTTATGAGCCTGCATGTTGTCCTTCGCTGACCACATCTTTCTCAGCTGGCTCCTAGAATTCTACATCCTTCTTATGGGTGGATGGAGCCAGGTGACTGCTGATTCCCTACTGCTGTAGGAAATAGGACTGATGGGATGCGAGAGGGGCCAGCAAACATTGAGCGTTCTGGTTTTGAAAACATTGTTCAATTGAATGATCATTTTACAAGAACCGGATCTTCCTGTTTTAGGGGAGGAAGTTCCTGCATCAGAAATGAATCCTTTCCACCTAGCCTACCCTTTAGTGCTTCCAGTTAGGAGTCTCTCTTTATACTTCTCTTTTGCTGTCATTTAAGAGCACACCTCTTGACTTTCTTGGGATCACATGATGATGGTGGAAAAATTCCGTAATCTGCAAGTTTGTTCCACTGCACATGAACACCATATTTGCTAAAAGGAGGCTGCATGATCTAGTGGTTTGAGCACGTCACTGACTCTTTTGGTCTTGGGTGAATCACTTAATCTCTCTGTGCCTCAGTTTCCTGATCTGTAAATATAGATATCACCCTGCATCACAGCCATGTGGTGAGGAGTAAGATAATGTTTGTACGGTGCTTCGAACATATAAAGTACTACACAGGGAGGGGGCAGCGCTAAATGTTACTTTGTTAGTCTGTTCAGCTAGTCAAGTGAGTGATTGGTGTCAGCATATTTCTAGGTGATTTAGAATCTATACTAAGAAATATCTGGTAGCTATTACGAGTTTGTGAAGTGTACTCAGAAATGCTGGAACAATACCGTGTAAGTGGATCAAAAATTAAGCAAGCACAGTAGAAGAGAGTAAAAACCTATAAGCCCCATTAATTCAAACTCTATGGGCAGTAGTGGTGTGGAGTTTAAAGCATAAGGTTATATGGAACTTCCCTTCTTCAAGCCCTAGTTTATTGACCTAGAGGACACTTTCACATTTCCCAATACATCTGAACAATCAAAGGACCCAAGAGGGCAACATAGCTATCTTCAGATCTTGTATTCTTCTCTGTTCTGCCTTTGACTCCAATTGCTGTGAAAACAAATGTTACTGAGACAGAAGATCCATTTTTCTAAATCCGCAAGAAAATAGGCCAAATTCATCCCTTCTATAGATTAACATTACAGCAGGGATGAATTTGGCCCAGTCAGATAATTGTGACCTCCAAGAACATTTGCAAACTATCCCATTCAGCGGTAAAGGAGATGAAAGCCAAAGAATGGACAATAGAAGCTGATCTTCATGGTTGTTTTAACGTCACAATCGTTTCAACTTCCACACAGACTTCAAAGTAATAGATCACGTAGAGTACTTGCTTTGGGATACGAATATTCTAGCAAGCAACTCATAGCATTCACTGTAGTTGTGTTTAGAAAAGTTTCCATTTAACCCTCTCCTCAAAACAGTAAGTTTCTGAAGTCCTCCCCCGCCCCCAATTTTTTGGCTGTGTGGTCGGTTGGCTGTTTTGGGGTTATTTGTTTTTTGGAAGTTTGAGAAAAATCCTTTCAGTTCCTCTGGAGTGATGTGAGGGTGCAAAAATATACACTTATTGCCTTGTAAAAAGAAACATTTGAACCACACTTCAACAGGGTTGCTGCAAAAGCACCTCGAGTTTGACCTGAGCATGGGCATAGTCTCCCTGAGGAGTAGCACCTTTGCTGAGTCTGGGAAGAGGAAGCAATTTTTAGACCAAAGTGTTTGAAAAATTATTTCCAAGCATGTTCCATCAACAACTGTTTTCGTAGAGCTTTGCACCTCCTACGATAAACATTGTCTCTGCCTAACTTGACCAAGTGATTGTCATAAGGTAGGTTAGACATTGAGCTTCAGCTACGTGCTAGTGTCCCCTTATACAATGACACACCAGCCATAAGATTTTGCTTTTTAAACAACATCTCCAGGGGGTTAAATTTTGTATTGATGTTTTTACACTACAAATACATTGCTTAAGCAGATTGCTTGTTAACAGCATGATGATAGAAGCATATAATTTAGCATATAACACAAACACTTTCTTTGGAAATGTTGAGTTTAAACTAACCCGTTTAGAGATCAAATAAAAGATTTTGATCAGCAGGTATAAGAACATAAAAATGGCTGTAATGGGTCAGACCAATGGTCTATCTAGCGCAATATCCTGTCTTCCGACAGTGGCCAATGCCAGATGCTTCAGAGGGAGTAAACAGAACAGGGTAATTTATCGAGTGATCCCCTCCTGTCGTCCAAAGCAAGTATAAGAACATAAGAATGGCCGTAGTGGGTCAGACCAATGGTCTATCTAGTGCAATGTCCTGTCTTCTGCCAGTGGCCAATGCCAGATGCTTCAGAGGGAGTGAACAGAACAGGGTAATTTATCAAGTGATCCATCCCCTGTCGTCCAGTCCCAGCTTCTAGCAGTCAAAGGTATGAAAGAGCAATATGAGCACCAAGTTACCTATATTCTAGCATGACTTGTTTGAAGGGAGAGAAACCCTACTGTTCTATACTTACTATTTCAGTGATCAAGACACACGTGAGTTAGATGGTTAGAAATATCTTGTGAAACTAAGTGCTGAATAAAACTGGTTGAGAAATGTCAATGAACAATAAACATTTGCCATCTTTTTCCTTTTTCCAGCCAGCTCTAGTGCTGAAGTTAATTATAAGATGAACAAAGGTCCTTCCTTGTATTTACAGACCTCTAAGTCAAGTGACAATCAAACTTCGGCAGTTAGAAAACAAAGGAATGGATGTGTAGCCGGACCATGAAATTTACAATAGTCAATATGATTCCCCTAGGCCCTCAGTGCTTTGTTCTCAGTAGTTGAAGCATCTGACAAAAATGCTTATCTGTTTGTTTTATTTTTAAAAACTCAGCTGATGTGAGGATAGTATTGTCCTCCACAGAATTTAAATTTGCTGTTCTTTCTGAAAACCAGTGATGCATTTAGAGCTAATGGGAGTTTTTCCATTAACTTGGGAGGGAAATAAAAGTGGGCTCTTACTAATACAACATAAATATTTCATTTTTCTCCCTATGTACAGAGCCATCTCTCTGATTTGTGACTCAAGTTTGTGCTGTTATAATTTTCCCAATAGGTTACAATCTGCATGTTAGAATCTGTTTTAGACTGTACTAGATTATGGGTTTCCTGTAGCAATTTGTGCTTTAAGACGGGAAACATACAGTCCCTCATGTGTCAGCATAATGATATCTTACTATTTTGGAGATGCAGTTTGGAAATTAAATGTGTATCCTTTGACGACAAAAATATTTTTCTAAGGTGTATCTAACTTAATGTGACTTTATTTGTGATTGTTGCAGTGTACATGAGGTTTTTTTCTAAGCTCCCGTGAACATTTTATTTTTTGTGCTGTAACTACACAGGTGCTATAGCCACTTGCTACTCTGAGAAAAAGAACACCACACCATTGATCGGTGCTGACTCATAAAAGCCAGTCTTTGAAACAATACACAACTGCTGACCCCATCTCTGTTTATAACATGGGGATGGTGCTGCAAAGATGTTGCATTTTTCATGATTTAAAAATAATTTTGTTTGTGGATATCTGTATTAACTTGTTTAAAACATACAAATAAATTTTATGAAATTTTATGGAGACCACGTAGGTTTTATTACCACTCTGCATATGTCAACCCAAGTTTAAAGTCAAGTCAGCTGCCATTTCAGAAATACATTAAAAATTAATGGGTAAGACAGGACTTGCCAAAGTGGTGACTGCTCTGCTCTGTTATTTACTAGCAGTGCTGTCCTGGTCAGCTCTAGGTCTGTTCTGCTTATTTCCATTTCCCCCAGTTTCAGCTTGCTACCATTAATGCCACATCCATCATGCTAGTCCAGAAGTGATTTAGAGCATTCTCCTTGCAAAAGGATCCCATGTAGTTTTTAAAAAGACACTTTTCTGTACTGATACTGACAGCTTGATAACACAACCAAGTGCATTAAGAGCACATTGAAGGGAAAAGGTACATTACTTAAATGCAGAACAAGTAATCAAGTAAATACCACTTTCACATAACTCATGTGGACTTCCACTATGTCAATTAGTTTTACTTTTTTTTTCTTTTTAAATAAAAAAAGGTCCCATGAGACAAGCTAGCTTTAATTGGGGCAGGGGTGTTTCCTACAGTAATGGTGGATCAGCCTGCACGCTTTCATTTTTGGCAGCCCTCTGCCCCTGACATTCTCTTCAGAGAAAATGGCTAGTGACAAAATGCTTTTATGATGGAGACTTTGCCTATACCAAAAGGGAGTGAGTTTTGCCAAAAGAGATTTGCCATTTAAATGTCTGATGCATGATTTTTTAAAAAGGCATTTTCATTCACATCAACCACAGTGCTGTTGAGGAGGGTGGCCTATGCACAGACTATCCTTAAGCTCAGGTCCTGCATGTTTTATAGCAGGAGTTCCAGTCTCTGTTCTTCCTTACACAAAGAAGAGCTGCTGCTTTTTTGTCAGGAACCATTTCACCCTGGACAAGTGCTGTTTTCCATGGAATGACAGACAGATGCCTCATTACTCAGCCATCTCTCAGTCCAGCAGAACCAATGCCCCCTCTAATGACTGACAGGTGAATGGGTCTTTGGCTAAAGTGCAGGCTGTTCTGGATCTCTGACATACATGCTGCTTTTTAAAACGGCTGTTTTATGGGGGGGGAGTGGGGCTTTCCTCCTTGCACCAGATTACACTTCATTTTAGATTAAAGTCCTTCTGCAGGCAGCAAAATTTATACCCCTGCCACAAGTAGGATATATCTTAAACTAGGCAAAAGTTGCTTAGTTTTGCAATGGAGCATAATGAAATTGAAGCACTTTGTGTGTTTTCCTCTTCACTAATTTGTTTCCTTTTCAGCATTTTGTAGTAGTCCTTAGGCAGGGCCCAAGCATTGTGCATTTTTACTTTTCCAAACATCTCCAAGAGATTTTAACACTTTATTTAATAAAAGTTAAACATACAAAACTGAAATTAACACACTTTGTATTCATAAAAATCACTTTCTCCCATTAATAGGAAGAATCTTTTTCTATGCATGGATTCTACACTATCAGTTGCAGAGTTTAGCTTTAGTTGTGACTCAGGTAACTGATGGACATTTCCACCAATCAGTGCATTATCAATTGCTGACATGACCTGATCTAATTAACAAATTACAAAATGATCTACATTAACATAATATACAAGGGAAACATGGTCAAGATTAATGAACAAGAAATACACTTGAATTATTTAATGGAGGAAATAGCCAAAGTACTCCTGTTCATTAACTCAGCCCTAGATTTTACAAAAATAATATCTACAATGTATACAGGGCTATACATTAACTTTTTTTTTAAAAAAAAAACACTTTACGGATTCAGAGGTGGTACCAGTACCGTAAGTGGGAGACACGTAACAGAGGGAAGCAATCATGTACAAAAGGCAAGAACTTTTACATGAGGTTTCCTGAATAAAATTAAAAGGGCTCACTGACAGCGTAGGGCTGAAATTACAATGAAGACTAGGGCCACAGCCAGGATTATAGCAAGGCAGAAACTTCAGACTAGCCTTTACTCATTTCCAACTAATTAAATAGGATCCAGGCATTCTTATCTAATGTGCTTCAGTTCTGTTCAAATGGATGGGAAAAAAAACCCACACAGGCTGCTCAACAAGTTGGGATTTACTGTACAGTTGTCAAGTCCCATAACCAGCCCATGGAACCCAGCAGTGCAAGGTGTAGAAGGGTTGAGAACATGCTTTTCAGATCATATGATTTAAATTTTCCCAACACTTAAATCTTCACTTTTAAAGTGCAGTTTTACTCTGAAATTTGACTCTCTAAAAATGTCATCTTATGGTTCCCTGGTTGTGTCTCAGCGACTTCCAGTTTAAATGTGCTCAGTATACATGTAAGGAGATTCCTCCCTGTAATTTCCAGCCCTGCAAATTCAGTCTGGAATCTCAAAGTGAAGTTGCATTCTTTCTAGCACATGAATCATCACACTACTCATCTATTCTGTGGGCCACATTCTGCCCTCAGTTACACGCTGACTGTCTTCAGTGAGATTGTAAGGGAGTAACTTAGAATTTTATTAACAATTCCATTTTATATACAAGCTAGGATGGAATCCAGCTAACTTTCCCAGAGCTGTACTGGCTCTGTAGTGCTAGTGTAGTTTGTCACTAAAGCAAGGAGATAGGACTGTGAATACAGAGGGAATGAGAAGCTTTTAAAGGGGCCATTTTTACACAGTCATTTTTCTGACCGTACCCTTGCTAAAAATATGAATGGAAGATTCTGGAGACCAGCATTTCAGCATAACTGCTAACAGCAACTCATGAAAACATCTGGCTGCAGAATTTTGCTTTAAGATGACTATATAAAAAGTTTAGTAATGATGAAGGGAGTCAACTGAATAGCTGTAGATTTCTTTAAGGCTCACATCAGCTGAAGCCAAGTGATGGTGACAAAATGAACTATTCACTACATGCCAACAAATAATTTACTTTTAGAAAAATATAATGATAAAAAGATAAGTGTAAAGCCCTGCAGAGATGAAGTTTAGCCTTTCCCCTCTCTTACTGAGGCATCAAATGCCTGACATTATATTTAGAGGTATCTTGATATTGTGTCATGGGTTTGTCTGCAATTCCACATGTTCCAACCCCGACTTTGCCAGTCACGCTCTCAGGGGAAGCAAAAATACTCCTCTTTACCTGAGAAGGAAACAAAAACACCATTCCTGATTAGTCAGTTCAAGACAGTTTGCTAACTGTGAAGACATGAGTACTGATTAGTCAGTTCTCTAATTCTACAATCAATCCTCAACACCCTACTTTACAGACAGGCAAACTGACACATTAATGTACTTACCCAAGGGCACAGGAGGAGTAAGTGGCAGAGACAATGTTAGAACAGAATTTCCTGGCACCCAGCCCTGTGCTCTAATCATGCCTCTTTGTGAGCACTGACAGCCAATGTTCATCAATAAAAGCCACATTCCTTATCATAAGACTGTTTTCTGGTAAGTGCTCAAAAGGACTGACGTTTTAGCAGTCCCACACTGCCCCTGGGAGAGTGGGCGGAAACCGAGTGGGCAGCAATACAGCAACACTTCAGTCTCCCCACCACCTCCTCTGAAATACGGCTACTCTACCAGACATGGGAAATGGCTCCAAGCTGGCCACACACCAGACTTTCAGGATCTCAGCTCCAGTGGACCCCAATCCTCCCAGTCTGTGCTGCCCTCAACAGTGGGCCCAATGCTCCAGCCTGGCTAAGTGCAAGCTTGGTTTCAAGAGGGAAAACACCTCACCATGCTAAACCAAGGCCAATCAGAAGGCTTTATTATGCACTTGTATTGTATTTTTTAAAATTTCTTGTTATAAGTCATAATAGTGACTAGTAACAGCTTCCAATTCCTGTATACTATTGAAGTAAGTCACAGACACAAGTACCTCACCTATAGATAAATCCCAGCACACACCTGTGCATAGGTCTTCTTATAGATCTAGGCTGTGGCAAGAATTCTTTTCCCTGAATAACTTTGACAGAATGTGCATCGCTGTATTTCTATATAATGGCTAACATTCCCACTGACAAAGCTAATAGTAGTGAGCTCTCTGTACAGTGGCATGAATGTATATTAGTAAAAACCAAAATACACACCATTTGAGGAATAGTGCTGCCACCTTTCACTGGTATTTGTTCTATGCTTTTCCTTATCTCCTGCCCAGTTAGAACAGCCATGAAAAGCTAGGTATGCTGGGTGAATAAGAGATCCAATTACACACTTGCCAGCATTAAGGTCTCACAACAGGTTTCCCAATATATGGCATGATGTGGAGCAGTTTGGCTGCTCCTCCAAATGCAAACTTTTAGTTAATTTATACTAAAAAAATTTTTAAAGGCAACCCCAATTCTTGCATAAAAGTGACCAAGTTTCCCAACCTACACAAGCAAAGACCTAAGACTTACTTTTCATATTTAGGCATGATTACTCAGCCTATCTGCAGCATCAAGCTACCATGATTACTCAGCCTATCTACAGCATCTCACTCGGTTTTGCAGCTGGGCTGCCTCAGACTGTGAAGCTGAGCCATTTGCCCCCAAAGCATAGTCTGGGCATGGTATTTTTCCTGTAACTTGTAGGTCGGACTACCCCTTTTGCTAACTATTCACACACTGGCAGCATATACAAACCTGGCCTTTTTTGTTTTTAGAATAGGCTCTGTTGTTGAACTGTTGCCACTTGACTTTCTGGTCCTCTCGCTCCTGTTCAAGTTCTTTGATTCTCTGGGCTTTTTTCAAAGCTTTCTTCTTTTTATATTCTCGTTGCTGCGCAATCATCTCTTTTCTGTAGGAAGGAAGGGTAGCCCATGATTATGTTTGTGACTACATTTCCTCTCAATAAAGCACTCTGAGGTACACTAAGTACCAAGAAAGAAACTAAATGTAACTATTGTAAGCCATCAGGACTCTCAAATGAATGATTACACAGTCAAGTCAGGACTATGTACGCTTATGAAGAATATTGACAAACCTCCCCAAACAAACTGTACTCCATAAATGCAAAAGCAAAGCTATGAAGTTAGTTATGTGTAACACATGGGTA